ATATCTTCAATGACATTTTGTGCTTCCATTTCGCTTCTATTCAGTGTAGATTAGATTTTGCAATTCTTAAGACCATGAAACTTTCTGGAAACAAGCATATGAACGATTAATAAAATGTTTGCATCTATCATTAGTGGAAGAAACAGGCGTATCTTTACTCTATCCTGCCTAAAGGCAGTTCAAAAATAGCAGAAAAACCTTATTCGAGAGTAGTGTAATTTGTTATTGAATTCTCCGGGCCCGAGACTCGATCGTGAACCGATCGATCGTGATCAGTGAATACTTCAGTTCTGCCGAGGGCTCTTTCCAGATGATCCTCGAGCTTGATCTTCCACTGATTTCAGCTTAGACCTTCTCGGGTGTCACATATACCACGTGGAATGCATCTACCCCAGATCCCTTGGTTCAGGGGCACTGAAGAGCAACCACTGTGTGGGGGGCAGGCACTCCGACTGCGGGGTTCATACACAATCTCTGTACATATAAAAAAAAAGAGAGGCTGGATGAAAAAAAAAAAAAAAACAAAGAACACAAGAGGCGACTCCAACAGGGTGCTGGCCTTTTGTGGTTGTCTTTTGTAGTTGTTTCTGTTTCCCCTTGTTCCTGCCACTGCCAGTGCCACCACTGCCCCTTCCTCTGCTGCCTGCTGCCTGCTCTCTCCTCTATTTTCTTTTGCCGCATTTTTGTGCGCTTTTAATGATAACGCAACAGCATTGTATATGTAGATGCCTCGACACCGTGTACCACCACCATCCCGCTGCTGCTGCTGCTGCTGCTGCTGCTCTTCCTCTCTCTCATCATTCGCTTAACCACAGGAGCAGGAGCAGGAGGAGCCTGGAGACCTGCTGCCACGCATGCCACAGCCAATGCATTAAATGCTAGTTGAGTGTAGAGTGTGCCACGCCGACGTATACGATGTCTGGCCAAGTAAATTCAATTGAATTTTGCACTCGTTTTTCTGTTTTCTGTTTTTCCGTTGTGTTTTTATCCGCTTTTCCATTTTGCTTTCTTGTTTTTTCTGCTCTTTTTTAAATGCCAGAGGCTCATATTGCACTGGGGCTACGCCCTAATACGGCGGCACCCCACGCACTCATCCCGCAACCAGGCCATCCTGCCCCCAGGCAGTGCAACAAAACGCATCCCTCCTGTCTCGCATTTCTGATATTTCCTTATAGTTATTTGTGTTGTTGTTGTTGTTGTTGTTGCTATTGTTGGTGGGAGGCGAGTATTATCCTTCGGGCGGCGGGCGTGTGATTTGCTTGGTATCGACATTTTAATGATGTGCCTCTGGGCCCCGTGGGCCGCCGCCGCTGCTGCCGCCACCGCATTGTTGAATCCTTGGATTCTTGGATGCTTGCAGGACGCCTTGTACTTTTGGCATTTGCGCGAAATGTCGAGACATTCCAATTGAGAGGGAGAGGAAAGATGGTGGTGCTGCTGCTCGTGGACACATCCTAAGCTGTCAGCCAGCCAGCCAGCCAGCCAGCCACCAAGAGTCGTAGAGGCAGGCGGCAGTCGGCAGGCGGCAGACACACCCGCGGCATATACTTAAGGATACATAACCAACTGTAAATGCCGTCCAGCATTCGTGTCCTGCAGCAGTCCTTCTGCCCACCGAAACACAATGATATTTCCTCCATTCATCTTTAGAGCTTCATCTCACTTCAGTGGCCGTCCGCCCGTCCGCCCTTCCACCATTCTTCTGTTCCGGGCCCGCCGTTTCAGTCCAGTTCGGGGCACTCTTCTGTGTTCGATTTGAATAATGCGAATGATTTGCCTCCTGACTGTTGAAAATCAAATTTCAGATGGCTATTAGCCTCCCAATTGGATAAGAGTCGATTCCTTTCTTATTTTGGGTTCATTTTTTCAAGTGGCAGAACTTTGAATGGTTTTTTATTTCATTATTTGGCTTTCGTTCAAGCCAACATTAGTGAATGATATTTGTATTTATGAGGTATTGACATGTTGCAGATCCTTTTTGGCAATCTTTTGTCATACATTTTCAATTAGACAACTTTCTATTTCTCAGGAAGAGAGATGGCACAATGGAAGCACGTTGGAAGCACAGGAACTGGGGATGAGAAAAAAAATCACCGACAATTTCCCATAAGCGAAAGGACCTATACGATTCGAAAGCAAATGGAATGCTGCTTATGGAACTGTAGAACATCCCGATAGCTATTTCCTTGACCTTGAAATGAGGGTCAAAAGAGTACATTCAACGTGTATTCATGTTCTCAAAGATCTTCAAGTCTCTCCTGCCTACTCGTAGCCTCCTCTGGGCTACAAAACAACCCGCAGACCCATCCCGAAGATGACCCAACACTGAACTCTAACCCAAAGTTCTGATTGAGTGCAATCCTTGGAGGTCCAAGCGGAACACAATAAAAGAAAATGGAATATGAAACGATGTCACAGCGGGATACATTTGTGTGGGGTCGTCGTATGCAGAGCAGGACATACAGGACATACACAACACATATAGCAGCGCATCGAAATGGCAAATAAAAATGCTCAACATTTCTTATGACCGACAAATTTTCCGCTCTGCCACCAGGATGCCCCATTCCTCAAGAGAAAGAAAGAGAGAGAGAGAGCGAGTCGCCATTATTTATAGGCATTTTAAACAGCGGGTGAATGGAAATGAATGCAAAAAATATAAATAATACAGATATATATCTCTATATAAAAAATAGAGGGAGAAGCGCATTAAGTTGTGGGGCAAGGCAGGGCAGGGCAGGACGGGGCAGGAAGTAGACGCATTTTAGACATTACCGAGTACCAGGAGCGTATAAATATGTACGGATGTAAAGCCCATCCGCAGCCCCCCGTCCCCTCAAGGGGATAGACGTCTGCTTACACGACGAAATTGACATTTTGCATTTAGTTATTCAGTTCTGTGTCTATTTTGAGTTTTTACATTGCTTTTTTTTTTGCCTTTTTTGTTGCCATCTGGCACACAATAAAATGAGAAGAAAAATTGCATAATAACCCCTTTGAAATCGTCGGATTATCCTTAAATATTTGTGTAAACATGGTAACAAATGCGCAGCGCCATTGTCATGGATGCAGGATGATGCGATGGCACAACAGTCCCAGCCGAACAGCCACAGCCCCTTTCTGCCTGGGATCCTTGGATCCAGCGCCATCGCCATCGCCATCACCATCCATGCCTCTCAAGTGTGGAATGGTGGAAGGTTCTGCCATCGTCAAATGCCTGAATGATGAGCAATAGACGATGGGCCCGGCCCAGGCATGTCACAGTCGACAATGAGACAACTTTTAGCCCATCCGCCCTGACAGACGGAAGACTCGGAGACGAGACGAGTCGAGACGAAAGACGTGGGCGGAGGGAGAAAAAGGCAAGGAGACAAATGCAGAGACGCCGACGCATGCAACAATGGTTGGAAGTGCCCCAGCCATCAGATGGAGATGGAGCAGGCAGGGAGCAGCCAGGGAGCCGTCTTAAAAAACCTGTCACACATATTGACAGTCGCTTTAGGATCGTTTAAATCTAGTCGAGGGTCGTTGGTGGCTTGTGCGAGGCTGGGAAGGATGCGTGGGGGGCATGTGGCATGGGGTTGCGGTTACCATGTTGTGCGTTCATCGAGTCAAGTGTGTGGGGCATACATTTATTGTAATGATTACGGGCATAAGTACACATGTGTGTCCTCTGGAGGCGAAGGGCAACTACCGTATCTGACATAATTTTGATTTGAATTTATATCCGACTGGCATATAATTAATTTGTGAAGGATAAACAAAAGATTTTGAGAGACATGCCAATCACGAGTATAATACGACGATGCATGAATACAAATATACAATATATAAATACTTAATTGACTCAATCGTATAATATACAAAATTATATCAAGACTTTTTCTTATTTAGGACAACTTAATGCATGTTCGAAGACAGTATTTACGCCTTATTCTACATTTAACTTTTTGAAATTTTCCAGTTCTCCTTCGTGAGCTTTAATACCGTCCAAAGTTCCATCCCAAAAGTAATTTAGTAACTCAAAGACATCCCGAAATTCGCGTTCCGCCCCAATTGGATGCAAGCATCTGTCAAGCATGGTCTCTGGGGAATGCTCTAATCTTCTTATATATTTTCTTAATATGAGAGCGAAAAATCACAGCAAAAGTAATAATGAGCCCCGACACCGCAAAGCAAAGTAATCTTCTTAGACAAAGAGTGTACGAGTTCAATATTTCGCCAAAGATGTTTAATTTTCATCATACACTCGATGCATTAAGCAGTTCAAGCAGTGCATATAAGCATTAGACTGCTTGCCCAAGCTGTTCTTTTTCTTATGCTCTTTCCCTCTCTCCACAGCTTCGTGAGCGAGTGTATTAATCGAATCAGTGCTCATTTAAGTGAATTAAAAAACATATAAAGGCGGCGGAAATTAAATCACGCAACTATTTTGCGCAACAAAGAGTACAATTAATCGACTGCTCCTGCTGCTCGCGTCTGTGTGTACTCCAAGGACGAAGGACGAAGGACGAAAGCGCTGCAGTAGAGTAGTCAGTGCCTGTCTGCTGTTGGAGGCACAAAACGCCACAAGTTTAATCGAATTCAACTACTCATAATGTGCAACAGACAACGACCATGACCCCTCCCCTCCCCAGCGGATAGGCTGGAGAAGCGGTGCGGGAGAGGAGAGTGCACTCTTACAAGTCCTTTTTGTACGTACAAGTTGGGCACTAATCTTATTAGGATCATCCAGCAGGCAGCACACACACACTCACGCGTGCAAATTCCAATTGTATAGGTGAGATAAGCCCCACAGCACAGAACAGCAGAGCACAACACCAGACCAGACCACAGCTGATACACAGTTTCTCTCTCCTCTGTCTGTCGCGCTCGCTCTCTCTCTATCTCTCTCTTTGGTTCGACTCCAATTCCGACTCCGTAGTCACGAATCGTACGTGAGCGTTTCAATTACCGCCGTAAAGGAGGAGTGCGAATGGGTTTTATTATTATTTACATACCTGTTGCAGCAGGGGCATTGTTTTGAATAAAAATTCCAATTTCCACACTTGTGTTCGTGTCGCCTCGTGCTCGGGTGCTCGGTCGGCTACTGCAGCTTCGGCTTCGGCTTTTGGCAGCCGGATAACACTGACAAAGCGGCAAAAACAGATGTCACCACTTCCGTGTCGGCTCTGTGCTCCCCTCCTCTTGCTGCTCCACTTCCTTCCACTGTGGAGAGCCAGGCGAGTCCAGGCCGCAAGCGAGCAACAAAAAAACACCAGCCAGCCGACGGCGTTTCCTTTTATAGCTCGAACTGTTTGTTCACACTCTCGCGCAATCCGCTCTCCCAATCACTAACGCGCTCTCAATTGCTCAATTGTTGGAGCTGCGCAGGCTGAGCCGCAGGCAAAGCTTCGGTTGGACTCCGACCCTTTGGGGTTGGATTTGGTTGGGTTCGACCGCCTCAGGCAAACAACAATGTTGGACTCGACTTTGGGGCACACTTGACTCCTGCTGGGGCCAGACACTGGAGACGGAATATACGCAGGACACACATAAGACACACGAGACAGCTGGCAGATGTGGCCGGTTTCAGCAGAAGCAGCAGCAGCCAACAGTCATCGATTCATTATTCCTTCTCGTCAATAGATGCAAATTTCCAATTGCTGCCGAAGTGTAGTGCTGAAAGAAAATGTATTTTACATAATCTGGAATAAGTAATGGGGGTTTTTAGGCTTCCTCCTCCTATTGTTGAATGGTAAATGATATCACTGGGTGTATCCCTGGGGGTTAATCATTCATTGATCATGGGCGTATGGCAGGAGTTACTTTCATCACTACACTAATCCCTTACATTCCCCTTTGTAGTTACCGTTAACCCAGCCATCGCTCATCGCCCATCGCTTATCTTAAAACGTTTTCTCTGATGCAAATCACTCGAGTAAAAAACACACGCGGACGCTCCCTGCCCCCTCTCCTTTCCCAAATGGAAACCCACTTGAGCGTTAAATGCCTTTAATCGATCAAGGCGTAACCCATGCCCATGCCCATGGCCACAACATAACTGTAATTAACCAATTTAAAAGTGCTTTGAAGCGCGAGGGAGTAGAGAGCGGGTGGTGAAGTGGGGTAAACCCTTTCATAATTCTCTCCTTCTATGTCATTATATTCCAATTCCTTTTTATAGCTCCAATAAGAACAACTATCAAGTGGCCGGAAAGAGCTTAAAAGGCAGCGACGCCTACTAGCAAAGCGAGTGCGAACGAGTGTAATCCTTTTGGCTAGGAACCGGAAGCTGTGTGTTGAGCGAACCTATTATTAGAGCCATAAATCAGCATGAAATGAGCATAAAGCCGCACCGACTGCCACGGGCACACAATGAGCGGCGAGCGCCATTCTTGGAGTTTGAGCCTAGCCTTGCCATGCCATGCCCTGCCCTCTCTCTCTCTCTGTCTCTTTCCCACTCTGTCACACTCGCACTCTCTGTGCGTACACATTGTAGGGCTTATAATGGGCAGAGTAGAGTGTGGTGTGTAGTAGGAATAAGTGATAGCAACAGTAGTATTTTCTGTAGTTGTTGTTTTTGTTGCTGTTCTGTTGCGGTGGCTGCTATGGGCGGAGGAGAGAGATGACGTGAGCACTGTAAGGCGTTTGGTGGTCAAACGAAACAACAGTAAAAAAAACACGCACAATGAAAGGAGAACACAACCAAAACGCAGAGCAAAAAGGGAGATGGAGAACACAGTTTTTACTAACACACGCACACAAGCACACACACTTTAACTGTTCTTTTATGAAATTTACAACAATTTGTTGTGCCGGCTTTCAATGCATTTGATTTTGCCTTTGGCGTACCAATCCACATGATGCTACATACCCAGCGTAAAGACTCCGTTTCCCGTTTGTTTCCGAGTATTGGGGCCGACACACGTCGCGTGCATAAAATTTGTGGAAATTTAATTTCAATTTTGCATCGAGTCTGCTGCTCTTCTGTCGTCGTCGTCCTCCTCCATGCGTGGTGCTAAGCACATTGCACACACACTCACACACACGCGAAGCCGTTACTCTGCCACTACTACTACTACTTCTGCTTTGCACGCCTTTCGCTACTACGCTACTTCTGTTGTGTTGTTGTTGCTGGTAGAGTAATTTTCGCCGTCCTTTTACACTCGATTCAAAATACACACCGACTCCCCCATCCAATATTCCACATTCGCATTGAACTATTATTTTGATTATTAAATCTGCTGACAATGGAAGAAGGGGAAGAACTTTTAGTAATCTGGCGCCGCCTTTGGCAAAATGCTTCTTTTACTTTGTTTTCTCGTGCCTCTTCTTTTCGGCTGTTTTGCCGTGTTCCGAGCCGAACTGCAAGGAACCTAACGGAGCAATGAGCAAAGTGAATGTGAAATGCTCCAACATGCTCCAACATTACAACATGCTCCACCGTTATATGTATAGATATATATGTATATATATATACATATATATTTATTTTCCGTTATTTAGATTTTTTTTTCAAATGTTGCACTCAGTGTGACCTTTAGAAATATACCGTTTCATTTTCGAAATATACCATAAATATACCGAAGAATTATTTGTATTCATATTCCTCTACTTTGAAATTCGGTTTAATATTACTGGCTAGTTAGAAAACTCACCTCATATCACATAATTTAATCCGATTGATGAATCAATTTCCTACAAGTAGGACCAACCATAAGTACTCTTGTTTTTTATTGTCGATAAAATAAGGTTTATACAAAACAACAATTGTCTGTTTTCAATGTTCGACGCTATTCGACGCTGATCAGGAAAAGAAAATACTATGAAAAGTATGAAATCTGCAAGGTATGTGAACTAGACATGGTGTCAAAAATATACCGTGAATATACCGATGAAAAAAACCAACTTATCTCACTTAACCCCAATTTATTTAAACAGGAGAACAACCTGTGTTAATACGCCGAAAATTACACTGCTTGTAAATTCTTCGTGAAGATAAATCTTTTCAATTACAACAAAAATGGCCACGACATCCATACAAGTTTCATCATTTTCGTGCAGTGTATGTTAATAATCACTGGTCTACAATGGGTTAACCGGTCTCCGGCCATGATTAAAATAATATTTTTCGATTTTGATATTCGGTTGAATATTACTTGCAAGATAACACTCTCACCTCTGAACAGATATCTTTATCCGATTGATGAATCAATTTTCTCGAAGATTTGATTTTTTAAGTTTTCTTTTTAATTGGATTGTGTGTAAAATAAGGTTTAAGCAAATAATGTCAAAGCTGAAACGTAAGTTAACATGAAATGCGACTTCATTTAAACACTTGTTGCGTGTCGGCCGGTGGTATGGAAATTCGTATACATTTCCTTTCATTTATACTAAAATTCGGTTTTACAAACATTTTTGTAAGCATTAATAATGAATTTTTCTTATTGAATACCTATTCATGCATGATCTGTTGTCTGTATAAATATCTCGATCCCGAATCTTATTCTTGGTCTTGTTAAGATCATAAAAATCAAAATTTCGCTGAGTTAGCCTTAAAACACAGGCTGACTAGTTTCTACGGATTTTGGAGAATCGGATGACAAACATTTCCTGAATTCTATAATACTCTTTTTCCCAGGGTATATTTATATGGTTGGGTTGCGATAAAAAGGTATATGAAATGTTTTTCTGACAGTCTGGTTCGATTGCAACAGCTGCTCGAACAGCGCTGCCAGATCAATCAAAGCATAACAATCAGCAATTTAATTTCGCCGGAAAAAGCAATCACTTTAGAGTGAACAAAATGCCTGGGGAAAGAGAAACTAGCACCGCGGACACGACCAACGACCACATTGACCTGTCCATCTACCGCCGGCTGGTCAAGCAGTTCATAGAGATGGTAAATACGCGCCGCACAGACGCCGGCCAGGAAAAATGTACTCTTTCCTATTTCCTTTGCAGCGTCGCTATGCTACCGCCTTGTTTTGGGCCGAAAAGGTGGCCGTGCTGAGCGGCCAGGAGCCTCGCGATGTCTACTACCAGGCGCAGTGCATGTATCTGCTGGGGGAGTTCCACCGGGCAGCCCACACCATTCGCCACCACAAGCTGGAGAAGACCTCCCTGCCGTGCTTCAACTTGCTGCTGGAGAGCCTCTACGCAGCCAAGGACTACAACGAGGCCGATGCCATGATCCAGACGGTGGAGGTGGACATAATGACCACCTCGGTCAACCAGCCCGTGGATCCCGGCAGTGGCTGCTACATCGAGAGCAACAGCGTCTTTGGGGGCGAGGAGAACAGCCGTAACGAGCTGCTGGCCTCCATCTACCTGGTGAAGGGAAAGGTCTACGAGGCGCTGGATAACCGCGGCACAGCCATGGATTTCTATGTGCAGGCCTTGCACAAATCCATCTACTGCTTTGAGGCACTGGAGGCTCTGGTGCAGCATGAAATGTTGATGGCCTGGGAGGGTAAGTACTAGCAGATATCCCACTGAGGGCAGTATATGGAATTTTGTTCCTTCTTCCTTCCAGAGTTCGAACTGATGCACCACTTGCCGTTGTCCCAGCAATCCAGCGAAGCGGATGCGAAATTCATCCTCAAATTGTACGAATCGCGTCTCAAAAAGTACTACGAATTGATTTCTGCACGGAATGGCGAGGAGATCTCGCCCATTCTCAATCCTGATGTGCTCAAGTTCATAAAGGAGTTCACGGCACGCGTGCAGCAGACCTGCTCCTCAGAAATACAGATGCCGAAGGCTAGCGCCTTGAAGGTGCCCTTGACTCCGAGCCAATTCGTGTCGCCAGCACAAAAGTGAGTGCCGGCATCTACTCCTCAGCTTTACAGCACCCCTTAACATTTATACTCCCCCTTTTAGAGTCCTGGAAGACCTGAAGGCTCCTTCGTTCTCCCTTCAGACGAGCCTCTCGCGCGCCTCTTCCCTCATTGATGCCACACATCGTTCCATTTTCGATGCCTCCAGTCGCCGTCGATCGCGCGACCATGATGCGGACACATTGGTGCCTCTTGGCGAATGCCTCACTCGCGTGCAGCGCAGCACAGATCTGATGGCCGCCGAGGCAGAAAAATGCTTCTACGACTGTGACTACAAGCAATGCGTGAAGATCTTGAATAAGTGAGAGCCTAGAGATCACCCCTTGCACAAATCTAAATCCGATAATGTATCCTCTTAGCCTCCTGAAGATCGATCCTTTCCACAACAACGCTCTGACCATACAAATTGCCTGCCTGGTGGAGAATGGGGACTTTAATCGCCTCTTCTATGTAGCCCACAAGCTGGTGGATCGCTATCCGGACAAGGCTATCTCCTGGTACGCCGTGGGCTGCTATTACGACATGATAGGCAAGAGCGATCCAGCGCGTCGCTATTTGTCAAAGGCCACCGCTCTGGATCGCCTGTATGGACCGGCGTGGCTGGCTTACGGCCACTCCTTTGCCAACGAGAACGAGCACGAGCAGGCGATGGCCGCCTACTTCAAGGCCACCCAACTGATGCGCGGCTGCCACCTTCCGCTCCTCTACATCGGCGTGGAGTGTGGCCTCACCAAGAATCTCGAGCTGGCCGAAAAGTTCTTCATGCAGGCCATGAACATTGCCCCACTGGATGTGTATGTGCTGCACGAGCTGGGTCTGATCAAATACGAGTACGAGTATGGGGGCGCCGCCACCATCTTCCAGTGCACCGTGGACATTGTGAAGCAGCGGGCAAAGGCCAAAAACGAGGAGATATCCGCCCGCTGGGAGCCGCTTTTCATCAATTTGGGGCACTCTTTGCGCAAGATCCACAAGTACGAGGATGCCCTGTACAACTTTCAATATGTGAGTGCTCGAAGCGGGACTTATTCCATTTCTCATCTGTGATCTTTTTGCAGGCCCTCCTGCTGAAGCCGCAGAGTGCCACCACATACACTTCCATTGGCTTCATCCACGCTCTTTTGGGCGATCTGGACTCGGCTATTGAGTCCTTCCACAAGAGTCTATCCATCAACCGCGACTGCATTGTCACCTCCACCATTCTGAAGTCCTGCATCGAGGATCTGATGGACGATGCAACCACCATCGATGAGATATGCAGCGCCGCTCTGCGCGACGTGGCCAAGAACATTACGGCCAACAGTAGGCGGGTCCTCAATTCGGATAAATTCAATGGCATGAAGCTGAAGTTCGACGAGGAGGAGGAGTTTGCCAACTCCAATTCCGACTCCAATATGGTCGTTGAAATGAGCTTCGATACCTAATTCTCAAACCCAATGCCATCCCAACCCATCCATTGTTACATCGATCGTTTGCTGGTGCGTTTCTGCGTGTGTTCCATGCACTTGAACTTAATTTCTTGCCTACGGCACACACAGATGTTCGTTCTTCTACGATCTTTTAATGAGGCAGTGGCAGGGGCAGAGGCTTGGGATTTCTCCAGTTAGTGATGTTTTTCCCCCGCATTTCCATTTGAAGTCGCCGACGCCGCCGTCATGCGTTGTGCCAACATTTGTGAATACCATTTTTAGTCGTTTAGTATTTAAGAGTGCGAATAAGTCTCATTTCAAAACATACTCGTCTTAGTGCCCATTACGTGGGGTCTCCACTTATTATTCTGTAATTATACATTATAATTCTAACTAAATTTTGTTAAAAGGGAAACGTCGTTTTATGTAAGATAAATTGTGGTAATTTAAGAAGTGAACGGAAGCCACTATATTGATGGATTTGCGATAAGTTTGGTTATTGAAAAACCGAGAGAACTTCCATCGTGCATGTCCATAAATCGAATAACGGAACGAAACTATAATTCACTAATGGATTCATGCATCAAAGAACTCTCATTTTGAGTGTTCTATGATTTTCAATAGAAAAAGTGAAAAAAACCTCATTTATTAAGGGTTTATGTATCATAAAAACGAAAGTACTTTCATCTAAATGGTTTGCGCAATCGTTATCCAAACTAAAAAAAACGGAAAAACTACCATCTTGTGGGTTCAAAAAGTGAAAATATTCCCAATCTTGGAAATCCCAATCTTTGTAAGTTAAAGAATTGGACAACATTTCTATCTTGAAACTTCCTCTATAGATTTTCGATCCAAAAACAACACTGACTTTCATTTTAAGGATCCTCCAATAGCTTTGTCGATTCGAAAAGTGCCATACTGCCATATTCAGATTTTATATCCATGAACTGAGAGTACTTCCATCTTAAACTGTTTTTACCAGACCTCAACGTACTATCTTCTTGCGTCTTCCTCAACTTCAATGCCATTCGACTTGTACTCGAGCGCGTGTTAGAACTTCCTTGAACATGAATTATTTAAGAGCTCCCTATTATAATGTTCCACTCTAAATCACAGGCAAAATATTCCAGAATAGTATCATCCATAAAGCTAAGAGGTCGCCGGGCTGTAAGATAATGCTCTTATCGGTTATCGTTTGGGGGCGGCGCAAAATCACGAATTAAATGTCGTTAAACTTAACTTTTGGATATGCAAACAAACTACTGATACACTTTATGGCAATAGCTGGAGGAGAACAGCACCGAACAGAACAGAACGGAGGAACCACAGGCCCAAATATTTGCAGAGCCATATAGCCATAAAGCGTGTGACAAAACCAGAGACGATGACGATTGCGACTGGGAGTACCGGTACGACGACTACGAGACCCGCGAAGGTCTGTGGGGAAAACATGTTTATGCATATGAAAGCCGCCGGCCGCCGCGTCCGATAAAGAGTTGGGGGCCCGCGAGATTATGCTGGCCATCGGGGGATATATAAGCCCGATCCCGACCAGAACTCAACCACAGTCCAACGAGGCATTCCAATCAGCAAACACAAGCAACCAATACAACCAATCGAAACCATGAATAGAGTGATTCTCCTAGTGGCTTTGGGTTTGGCCATCTGCCATGCAGTGCCGTTGGCAGTGTCCTACGACGATGACGACGACACGGAGGTGGTGGAGCTGCCGGGAAATGGAATTGAGGAGGCGCCACCCGTCCTGGGCAAGGACATCATCGATCTGGCGCCCCTGGGCGCATCGCTGTTCGGAAAACCAGACCAGGAGCTGACGGCCGTCCTCGTGGGCAACTTCAGTGCGGACTCCGATCAGGTGAATCCTGAGGAGCTAGGCAGCTACCTGGAGGGCGACATGCTCGTGCCCCAGACAGACCTGATCATGAAAAATGGCTTGCCAACCCAGTCCTCCCGCTGGCCCCAGGGCGTGGTTCCCTACGAGATCCGCGGCGCATTCAATGCCCGCGACAGGGCCACCATCGAGAATGCCATCGCTGAGTACCATCGCCGCACCTGCATCCGCTTCGTGCAGCGCAGCTCCCAGCGCGACTACATCTCCATCGTGAGCGGCAACTCCGGCTGCTGGTCCTCCGTCGGACGCGTTGGCGGCAAGCAGGAGGTGAATCTCCAGAGTCCCGGATGCCTCAGCCGCCCCGGAACGGCCATGCACGAGCTGATGCACGCCTTGGGATTCCTGCACGAGCAGAACCGCATGGAACGCGACGGCTACGTGGCCATCCAGTACGGTAACGTGCAGTCCTCGGCGATGAACAACTTCGAGAAGGCCGCCCGCACCGAGGCTTTTGGAGTGCCCTACGACTATGGCAGTGTGATGCACTACTCGAAGAACGCCTTCTCCATCAACGGACAGCCCACCATTGTACCGATGGTAGGTGCTCGAAGATACGCTTATTGCTTCTGACTGATATCCATTATCCTTCTTTCCACAGCAATCCAATGGGGCTGACCAAATGGGCCAGCGTAATGGCTTCTCCGACCTGGACATTCAGAAGCTCAATCGCATGTACGACTGTGGATCGGTGGGTGCTAGTCCCTCCTTCCCAGCCTCGCCTATCACGGCTCCTGGTGCTGTTCCCGCACCTGCTCCCGCTGCTGGCAGCGGAAATCCCATTGTGGACAGCTTCCTCGGCGGCCTCATCAGCGGCTTGGGTCTGGGAGAGGAGGAGGACCAGAAGCAGGAGTCCACCCAGAAGTAGGAATGATCCAATCTCCAATGAACCAAAAGAATCTACTAGATATAACGAATCACCAACGCTCGAAACTATTTAAAGCATCCCCCACATACCAAAAAGCATCTATGAATCTATCAATCTTTACCTGATATTTACCTTTACCTTAAAATAATTTAATAAAATGTTAACAAGAATTGAAGAAACTATTGCAAATTTTAATAGGATAGCAGCTGAAGTTTCTGGCTTCGAATTGATGGATCGTTAAAAGATACTTACTCTAAATGGTTTTGGAATGAGTAGAGAATAGATTTTACATCGATTTATGTCATAGTCGTATATAAAAGAACACGAATGAAAGTAGGAATCAAAGTTGGGGCTTCAGAGAGTTTCATATGCTTATAGTAGAGATCTTTGTCGTCTCCAATGAAACGTTTTTCTATTAAAAAACGACTGTAAATAGTGCTCTAGTATTGAAGATTGAGGATTCTCTGAGGAGTCCATGAATCTTTTACCCTTCGTGAAACGAAGCTGCAGAGCCATGTATCGTGATCCTTGATATCGTGATAGTATAATTGTTTAATGATCTCCAAGGAGGTTAGCTGTGCTCTTCAAGGATCGGAGACCCACAAATCGATCCAAACTGAAACCAATGAAATTATAGCCCCAATAATGTTGCCAATGCTCGTATTATATTTAAAACCAAACAGATACGAAGAGGAACTGATAATCTACATATTCCTCTTGGCGGCCAGGAGGCGTGAGCGTGGCAGACGGCACTGGCTGATACTGTGCAGGCGGTACTGCATCTCCGGCTGGGTGACCTTCTCGTAGAGTTTCTTCTTGGCCTCGGTGACGGTGTGGATGAGGACGCCGTCGCCGCCGTCGTCCATGTTGAAGGCCTCGCCCTCGGCGCACTCCGGACACTGCTGGGTGAGCACTATGTCGTTGAGATCGGTGGGCAGCTCGCAGATCTTCTCGATCTGCTTCACCACATAGTCGAAACGGCCCTCGTCCTGGCGCTCCATCACGTAGACGCTGGCGGTGAGCTCCTGGACGCGCATCTCGAGCAGCTTGCAGAAGCGACTGAAGTTGACCAGATTGACGTGGGTGTGGTCGCCGAGGAGGAGGGCCAGCGGTGACGCATCGATGGAGCACATCTCGCAGACGGTCTCGAGACCCTGGAGCAGGTTCTCCAGTCGGGCATCGTTGCTCTCGCGGGCCTTGTGCAGCTGCATGTTGGATTCCTGTTTGCGGCTGACCTGCATCTCGAGGGAGGAGATCTGATCAAGCTGATCCTGCAGGCTGCTGGAGTTTTCCCGCTTGAGGGCGATAATGTCCTCGAAGAGGCGGTTCACAGAGTTGTTCAGCAGCGTGATGTGGTAGGACATCTCGTTGGCGTAGTTGAAGAACGAGTAGTAGAGGCTCTCCTGCTGCTGGAACTTCTGGATCACCTCCTCCACGTTATTGGAGTCCGTGTAGTCGAGGATCTTCTGCAGCACCGAGTTGTACAGATTGATCTTCTTGTTGTGCAGCCGCCGGAACTCGTCCCGTCGGCGGTACTCCTTTGGCTGGAGGTCCGCCAGCTCTCGTGGCTTGGCCTTGCACTCCAGGAAGGCCGAGTTGTCCCCATCGGCGGCCACCCGCCGCATGATGCCCTGCATCTCGACGCGTCGCACCTCCCGTTCCTTGGCCTCCCGCTTGGCGATGTTGTCGATCTTCTCGTAGACATCGATGCACCCATCGAACGTGTTCAGTGCGTACTCGATGAGATCTATCAGATACTTCTTGTCGCTGTTCAGTTTCTGGACCATCTTCGTGTAGGAATCGTTGAAGAACGTGCGGTGGTTGAGGATGCGGATGAGCTGCTCCCTTAGCTCGGCATTGGCCGCCGTGAAGCCGCACTCCTGGCGCACCCCCACCTCCAGGGAGTTCTCCAAAATGGTCATCTTCTTGCGCACGCGCCCCACATGAGCCTGGTGCTGATTGTCGGGGACCGTGATGCGGTTCAGGTTGTAGATCTGCTTGCTGACGCGACTTATCTCGCGCTCCATATTCGTGATGGAGGTCTTGAGTGTGCTCAGGTCCTGCGCGAGGTTCTCCTGGCAGTCCACATGGCAGCGGATGAGCTCCAAGTACCGCTGGTTGTTCTTCTGGTGCGTTGTCCCGCTGGCCACCCAGATCTGGGCCCTCAGATCGTTCTTCTCGTCCTCCAGCTGATCGATGGCATTCTCATAGCTCGCCTCGATGATCGTCTCCTTACGCGACTTCAACTTTCCCGAGAGGATCTTCTTGTACTCGCGCTGTCGCTTCCCCAGCTCCTTGTGCTTCGTCAGGTAGCCCTCCAGGAACTCCGTCTTGTTGAACGGCTGTATGTCGTCCATTTTGTGGTTGAACCTCTAGAATTTCTTTAACTCAAAACCCAAAAAAAAATAATAACTATCGAATAAATAATCTCTTATCGATCTGAAGTGTGATAGCGAACAAGGTTTTTTCAGTTTTGTGGGTGGGTTGTGCGCCCTTGTGAATGCTAGGAATTTCCGTATACTTTTGATCAATACCAAATTGTTAACTGATTATGTGAGAGTGACTTATAATTCTAGAGGTACTATTTAAACGAAACCCAAAAGGGGATAAGTAAAGTAGACATTTGTCAGTTTCGAATGGAGCCTCATGGATATACTCTTATGTACGATATAATGCAGCAGGGCTCTTGTTTGAATCCACATTATAATGGTCTCATTCTTAAGCTTTTACGATGCTTTAAAAATGTGGATAAAATATTACAAAATTCATTAAATGTCCAAGATAAGAAATATAATATTTGTGGTAATAACAGTATTAAAATAAAGTAAAGTAAAGTATTGTCTTCCGCATTCCTTATGCCAAAAGGTATTTTCTTTTCCAAGTACAGTGGAGGGCTTTCTATATGTTGTTTACATCTGAAACTTCTATATTTCTTATAAGACATCACATGCTTAGTTTTGCCTTAGTTTTCATTCATTCCTCTAGTCTAAGAATAAAAGTTTAAGGTACAAAAACCTCAAGATTAAAGCTTCGTAAGTTGTAGCTCCCGAATACCTATTTTTAGTGGGAGAAAGTGGCTTCTTTTGGGGGTTTATGTACTTCATTCCATAAAGGGACTGTTCTCTAAGCTAGGGGCCAGCTCTAAGAACAATTTCGACTCCTAATCACTTGAAATTATCCTTTTTTGTATCAATCAAATCTCTAGATTGTTCAGATAACTAACTGTATGCTATTGTATATTTAAATAAATCGCCTTCTTAGGCAGAAACATTTTGTATAAAGATATTTTAAAATTTTGGACATTAATTGCAATGCTATATAATCAGGATCATATGGGGACTACTGTTGGGAAATGCCGGAGCTCTCGACGGCATTGAAGATCTTGAAGACGGAATATATGTAGGCGGCTTTGCGCAGATCGTTGCACGTCTCGAATTTGTTGGCGGTGGTCTTGATACCAGCGGCGGCGGACTCCATAACGGTCTGAAGAGCGGCATCCACGATCTCGGCCTCCTTGGTGCAGTCGCGTATGCGTATGAGACGTTCGTTGGGCTCAATCTCGGGCTACGGATTGGGAAAAGTAAGGAATTAGAGAGAATGCACATCTGCCTCTGATGCACTTACAAATTCAGAACCGGGACAGCGATTGAGCGACTCATTGATGGAGTTGATCACCTCGTGGATCAACTGGGAAGTGGTCTTGGAGTTCATCTTGCCGTAGGAGACGTGGTTGATGTTCTTGAGATACTCGAAGTACGAGACGGTGACGCCGCCTGCATTGCAGTACAGATCGGGCACCAGAAGGACGCCCTTGTCGATGAGGATCTTCTCGCCGGCGGGAGTGGTGGGTCCATTGGCTCCCTCAAGGATCAGTTTGGCCTTGACCTTGGCGGCATTCTCGCTGGTTATGACTTTCTGAGTGGCACAGGGCATCAGGATATCGCATTCGGCTTCCAAGAGATCTTCCTTGGACTCTTGCGCCTTGGAGTAGCCCTTGATTGTTTTCTTTTCCGCCTTGTAGGCTATCAAATCCTGCACAAAAGGACCATGAGAACCATGAGAACCATGCTTCAGATTCCGATCTATAGACTTACATTAATGTCGATGCCATCTTTGTTAAAGAGCTGGGTATCAACCTCCTTTACACCAATAAGCTTGGCCCCTGCCTCATGAACAAATTTGGCGGCAAAGGAGCCCACATTGCCGAAGCCTTGGACAATGACCTTCTTGTCCTTCCAGCCCGTCTTCCACTTGAGCATGTCCATCCAATCCTTGTCCTGCAAGAACAGATCCCCGGCCTTCCACACTCCTCGTCCGGTGGCCGAGTTGCGTCCATTGATGCCGCCAATGTGCACCGGCTTGCCCGTACAAATGGCCGCTGCATTGATGTCCTTGTAGCCAAAGGTCTTCATGTACTGGTCCACCATCCAGCTCATCTCGCGTCCGCTAGTGTTCACGTCCGGGGCGGGCACATCGATGCCCGGTCCGATCATGTTACGCTTGAGCAGCTCCATCGTGTAGCGACGCGTGATGGTCTGCAGCTCCGACACGCTGTACTTCTTGGGATCGATGCGAACGCCGCCCTTGGAGCCGCCATAGGGCAGGTTAACGCAGGCGCACTTGAAGGTCATGATGGCGGCCAAGGCCTTCACCTCATTCTCGTCCACATCCATGGCAAAGCGAATGCCTATGAGAAAGCAGATGAGATACCGTATCTCCGGGGATACAGATCTTCAAAACTTACCTCCCTTGAGTGGGAGACGATTGCGTATATGATGGGCCCGATATCCCGTGATTATCTCGTAGGCACCATTTCCCTTGATGATCGGAAAGCTCACCTCCACGGAGGTGGTGACGCTGCCAATCAGATTGAGGATCGCTGAGACGCGTGCCTGTCGCGCCTCGGGCTTCATGTGTGAGTGCTTGCCCATTTCCTTCACCAGCTCCGACTCCATGGCCTGGGCCGCCTGATGGTAGTAGTACAGGACCATGGACGAGAACTCTGGATCCTTGTCGGTGGCCACCTTCTTCAGATGCTCGGGCATCTTGTGCTCGTACCTGTGGCCTTGTATCTGCGACTGCGACTTTGTTTGTTGCGGTCGCTGCTTAAACAGCGTCATTGTTAAATTGCGTAGCATTTTGCCTGATTTAAACAAATATTTTTTTCTTCAATTATGAATGGAAATTTTGGAATAGAAATGACGTACTGAAATAACGGAATAACAGAGACAAAGATACGACTCAGCAATATATTCATGGATAACTATGTTTGAATGATTTTTATGATTTTTCTTGCTTTTATTTAATGTTTGTGTTTATCGTATTTTAGTTCTTTAATATTACGATGTATATAAATACAATATTTTAGAATTGCTCTACATATATATGCGCATATGCTATATATCTGTATTATATATAGTATATGTGTGCTTACGTTTAATACGTGGCTAAGCATCTAAGAGCTACGACTTAAGTATGGCCTAACCTAAGGGATGCTATATCCTACATATGTATATAGAAGAGTTCTTTAGTTAAATGGATCAACTTTGCTTTTGTTTAAAACTTTTGGGATCGCACGGAAGCACGCACAAGATACAGATACAGGGATACAGACGGGAGAGCTTATGTAGTTATCATATAAATACTAGGGGGGCTGTTCGGGGGTTCCTATACTTCCTATACATCATCTTTCTTCTTACAATATTTACACCTTGAAGATTGAATGATTCTGAAATGTTGCTTGTGGGTTAAGAAAATGATTATTTCAACAGAGAATATGTTGCGCTCTAATATCACTTTTTGGGGGACACATTGCTTTTTTTATATATTGTTTATGGCCTCTAAATCAATCGTCGCATTCGCATTCGCATTCGCATTGCACACACATACACACACACGCACACACACAGAATTTTCTTCAAATTTTAACTGGTTTTCCATTCTTTTTTCTTGATGCTACAGGAGGATTTGGTGGGGGGACTACGAAATTCCTTAAATCTTAGTCTTATGCAAGTACGAATATTTTAAATTAATTTCAAATTAATTCAAAAGTCTAATTTTTACACAATAATTACAATTAACAAATTGATGGTTGGAAAGGGTTCTGTTTTCGGGGCGGGAACACTTTAATCTCGTTGCAAGATCGCAGTTCTTGGGGGGGGGGGGGGGGGGGGGGGGGGGCTGGCTGGGTGTGGTGGGTGGTACTGCTTGCTGCTTAAAAGCTAACATCACGCTGATTTAAACAATATATTTCTCTGTTTTTTGTTGAGTACAATCCGTGGCTGCTGCTGCCGCTGCCGCTGCTGCTGCGGGAAGCAGCTCTGACTCTCAATCCTCTTCGACGGCTGCTCCAACTGCCGCTGTGGCTGCGGCTGCTGCTGCTGCAATTCATCGTTTAGGCAGCTTCCGTGCTGCTCTCCTGCTAGTCCACATCCTTCTTCTCAATCTTTAGATCGTACTTGGCCACCAGCTCCTCAGGGGTGTGGCTGTAAATCCAAAGATACATTCATTAGCTACCGTTTTGGAGAGGGTTCCAAAAGAGTATGGGAGACCTACCCAACTAGATTCTGGAGATCGCAGACAAAGCGGTAGACATAGCGCTTGCCAGCCGTCTTGTGGATGATGTTCTTGTCGTAGTAGTACCTCAGGCCGCGACTCAGCTTCTCGTAGTTCATCTTGGGCTTATTCTTGCGTATGCCCCAGCGACGTGCCACCTAAAAAGACAGACACAATGGGGATTAGTGACTAGGCCCATCCATGGATATCCTTCCAAGGACTTACCTCATCTGGATCTGTTAGCTTAAACTCCCAGCCGTCGCCGGTCCACGAGATGAAGCTCTGGCACGTCTTGTCCAGCAGCAGTTCGAGCAGAAACTGCCACAGCTGGATGGGTCCGGAGCCCGTGAAGCACGGCACTCCGCCCTGCGTCGTGTAGCCACCGAGCAGCGACTTGTCCAGCCCCAGGGTGCTCATGTATGCCGCCGGATGTGGGTGCGTGTGTGCCCCCCACTGATCCATGGCCGTCGGTTGGGCGCCCATCGACTGGAAGGGCTGGGCATCGTAGGGCGTGAACTCTGGCGGATAGTCGTGGTAGCGTCCCCGTCCGTACGAGTTGTAAAAGTCCGGACTTCCATCCATGCCGTAGCCATTGCTGTTGCCGCTGCTGTTGTTGCCACTGCCGTTGCCTCCGCTCGAGGCCTGGCTCTGGTGCTCCTGCGCCGAGATGGTGCTGTGGTAATCGCTGTCATCCCCCGCCGCTCCGCCCCCATTGGAGGCTGTGCCTCCTCCCCCGCTGCTGCTGCCACTGCCTGCTCCTCCGCTGTAGGCGGCGGCAAGATGCGGTGGCAGGCCATAGCTACTGAGATCGGTGGGATCGTTCTGGCTGCCATTCGGCCCTGACGCATAGGAGCCGCCACTGCCGCCACCGCTTCCGTTTTGCGTTCCGGGCTCCTCTTTCACCTGATGCTGGTGGTATATGGCGGAAATGGCGGCCAATTGGTAGTTGATGTTGTTGTTGTTGTTGTTGTTGTTGTTATTGTTATTGTTGTTGCTTGGATTCGTATTGTTGCTGTTGTTGTTGTTGCTGGTGTTGTTACTGTCGCTGGAGCTCTGCTGTTGCACAGCAGGTGGCAGCATCGAATTGTTGCTGCTGTTGCCACTGCTGTTGTTCGTGTTCGTGTTGTGATTCTGCTGCTGCTGTTGCTGCTGCGGGGGCGGGCTGTTGTTGGGTCGTTCATGTGTATTGCTGCCGTAGCCTGGAGAGCATACGAGAAAAGAAACGAGATACAATTGGATTAGTTATAGAGATATAGACTGGAGAAGGATAAAGTGGCAGATACAAGTAGATCTATAATTACTAATGAAAGGACGTATTTATAGATACATTATACAAACCCATCTTAAGACTGCATTTCAATGTTAAGATACATTTGTTCAGATATTCCTTAGCAATAGAAAGTGAAAATCAGCGGAGAATCATGGAGAATGAAAGAAACCAAATATCTCATCGTAGAAAAGGTTTCCCCATTCCATCAAATACCTCCCTTTCATTCAATGGAGAAGAAAATCTTCAAGAGAATTTCCATCTACCACACACTCTCCTAAATGGGGCGTCTTTTCCCATTTCGAAAGCGTGTGTGTGTGGGAAGGGGAAGCGTTTGAAAGAGTTCGAAAACCAATCAAAAATCACAGCGTACACTCATACCAATCGTTGATTTAGATACAGATACACATAAACATCTCATAGATACACACATAGATACACACGAGGGGGCACCATCCACATTACCATCCCCCTGGATCTAATGGTCTGTAAGAGTGTGTGTGCAACGCCACATTAATTGCGAATGCAAAGGAAATTTCACACATTTCGAGACTGAGGCCGAGACGAGAGCACGCGGCTCGCAAGTATCTGTGAAATACGAAAACCTGTTGGCATACACAGATACAAACACATGCGCAGCTGTACGCTCACTCGATTGCTACCTCTCCCTCTCTCTCTCTCACACTATCTGGCGTTCCGAAGAAGCAATGAAAAAGCTTTCAAAGCGTTGTTTCCCATTCGCTCGGCGACGCTACTGCGCAGACACAAAGATACACTAGGCAGCCAGCCCCACTGGTTGGCTGGTGGCGGTCAAAGAGTTGTGTGGCAGCAGTAGCAGCAGCTGCGCCTTTTTAGGTGCCGCCTCTTCTCGTACACGCTGGCGATAGAGGAGAGAGCAGGCATCACATCATTAGAGCATCATCATCAGAGATACAGAGATACTGCTCGTACAATTTGTATCTGTATCTCCGCGTAGGCATCTAATGATTCTTCTAATGATGCCTCCGTATTCGCTTCAATTTACGTTGTATTTCTGTTGCATCTGTAATGTATCTTTATTGTAAATTTTAACAGTATCTTTGGTTCTTCGATTTGCATATGTATCCATGTTGCATCTTCTGTAGCCAGCATCTTTTTTTAATCTTTGTTAAATCTCTAATGTATCTCAAAGAGATACAAGATCTTACATCTTTGATGTATCTTTTCATTTGTATCTGAATTTTTAATATCTCTTTTAACGTACTTTATTTTGAGTGTCATTTTGCCTTGTGTCTCTACTGTGTATCTGTTGTATTTTTCTCGTATCTATCTTGTATCAATCATATTTTTTCAGTATCTTTTTTAAATTTGATGAATTTTTGCTGTATCTTTTGCTAAATTATGGCATCTTTATACTTGTATCTATGTACCTAGGTTTTTTTTTAGCACTTCTGTACTTTTGTTGGAATCTTTGCTGAATCTTCTGCACATTTTATGTTTTTTATATATAGTGTATATGTAGAAGATGTATCTTTGGTTACCAATTTCGTATTAGACCTAATAATTGTATGTTGTATTTGCTGTATCTTTGTTATTACTATATTGCAATTTTAAGGTTTATGTTGTATCTTTGAAATCTTTGATTTATCTGTTATATTTTTAAAGTATTTTTGTACAATCGGATGAAACTTTGCCCCATATTTAATACTGTATCTAAAGCATCTGCTTGCCATGCTTTTCCTGTATCTTTGTCGTATCTACTGTAATTTGATTGAATCTTTGATATATATTTATTTATATTTAAGGTATATTTAAATAGTATTTCATACAGATGTGTACCTTGATCGAATCCTTATTGTATTACACTCGTATCTTTTGATTTGTATCTATTATAAGAATGTTGAACCTTTCAAGTATCTTGTTATCCCCCACGCACAGCAAACAGCAAACAGCAAAGAAGCCATCTAATTGCCACAAGAAGTGCGTCCCCACAAGAAGTGTTGGCCACTTATCACCAGGTCAATCTGTTCTGTTCTGCTCCCCCATTCAACAAACAACAGTCTTCCCATCCAGCCATCCAGCCATCCAACCATCTACTTATTGCCACCCCTTGTGGCATGGCTCGAGAGAGAGAGAGAGACAGCGTCAACTTGTTGCGTGTCAAACACTTAAAAACGAATTACAAACGAATTTAATTATGCCACACCGCATCGCAACGCATCGCCACGTATCTTTCAGATGCTTTTCACACCCCAACAATTTGTAATTAAAAAGTTTTCGAGGATTGTTCCGTTTTTGATGTTGGTAAATATTTGCTGACCTGTGCTGAAGAAGTTGACATCCGAATCCGTGTAGTAGGCATTCCCCCCGACTCCCACTCCCACTCCCACTCCCACTCCACCGGAGTCGTTACCAAAGGGCGCCATATCGTTGAAGTATCCCAGGCCCAAGGAGGCAGCCGTGGAGCTGCTTAGAGCCCCCACTAGATTGCTGGTGTTGCTGCTATTGGTGCTGCTGCCGCTGCCGCTGCCGCTGCCACTGCTGTTGGGCAAAAATCCCTGCGACGAGGTGTTGCTGGAGGAGGAGGCACTCGAACTGGAGCCGGAGGAGGTGGTCGTCGTGCTGCCCGTACTCCCGCCAGAGAGACGATGGTGCGGATGCTGTTGTGGCTGCTGCTGCTGCTGGGTGGGTGATCCATACTGCTGTGGCAGGTGCGGCTGCTGTTGCTGCTGTGGTAAATGTTGCTGCTGCTGCTGCTGCTGCTGTTGCAGGCTCTGATGATGTTGCAGATGCATCGATTGCTGGGTATGATGGTGCGGATGGTGATGATGATGATGATGCTGTCCCAAATGGTAGCTGGGATAATTCTCATAGCTCTGCAGGACCATGTTGTTGTAGTTGTTGTAATGTTGCTGTTGCTGCTGCTGTTGCTGGAGGAGATGATGGCTGTGCTGGTGCTGATGCTGAAGGAGATCCGACTCCTTGTCACTGTCCAAGGCGTTGGCGGCACTGCTGATTATGGTGGCATTCACTAAAAACGCAGAGGGCGGCATCTCTTTGCTGCTTCGTTCACAAATTGATCGGTTCTCGAAAACGGAAACTCCTCCTCGCTAATCAGAAAGCGAGGCGTCATTGACGATGGTCCAGAATAACTGTGTGTGGAATCTGCGGGATCTGTTTTGTGGCTCTTCTAAATGCTGCTGGTGGTACTTGCACTCGTATTAAAATTGATTTCTTCTTTCTCTCTTTTGGAATATTTTAATTTTTGCACTGTCACATATAGAATTTTTCGGTTTTCGGTGGTTTTTGTATGTGGTTTATTATTGTTTGTTTTTATGCGGGCTGGCCTCTAATCAATTGGAGTGCCGCCTGTGCCCCTCTGATAAGTATTAACTATTCCGTGGGGGGGGGGGACTTTTAACAAGGGACAACTCTACTTGTGACTTATGTGGGCGTGTGACACTTGAAGAGATTTTAATCACAAAGATTGAGGATCGATTCTCAGCGCCTCATTTCCTGTTTCACACTTGTGTTCTGAAATGCCATGGGAAATTTCTCTCCCACGTTTCACCGTCGGCTACAGATACATATATTTTTATATATCGTACAAATCCAATTGTGGTTTATTTTTTGCAATTTAATGGCAATTAATTGTGGGCCCTCTGGACTCTTTCCGTTTCACTCTGCCACTAGCACTGGCACTGGCACTGGCACTGGCACTGGCACCGTTGATAAATTAATGCGCATATCACACAACACTCTTATTCTCTCTGTCAGGCACTATATATATTTTTTATTACTATATACATTATATTGTTTTCATTGCAGTTTGGCTTTTATCTGGCATTTCAATTCTCAAGTTTTCTTTAAAACACTTATCGCGCGCGGAGCGTATGAGCAATCCAGGGCTGCCACTAAACGGATCTCAAAAGAATGCTGCTATGCGAGCACGAGCGCGAGATACAAGATACATTCCACCTTCGACGGCGTTCGAAAGAGAAGTGAAGTTGCCCTGAAGTTGCTGGCTCGTTTCGTTTCGTTCGTGTCTCGTCGTTCATATCTGCGCTCGTTCGGGTTCCCGTTCGGGTCTCTCCGGCTGCTTGCGTGTGTGGGAGAGGGAGGGTACGTACTACGAACGAATGTGCCAATGGCAAATAATAATCATCATCGGATGGTGGGATGGAGGGAGGGAGGGAGGGAGGGAGTAGGGAGAATACTTTCACAGGGTGTTTCTCACACTCTCTCGTTGCCGCTCCCCTTTCTCCTCTGCTCCCCGCTCATAATCAGTGGGTAGTGTGCCTAGTGTGTGTGTGCTCTTTAGTGAGTGACTACTGCTGCGCATTTTAAATGATATTTTTGTTCGGGAAAGATTCAACTTGTTGATTTCTCCCCTCTCTCGGCTCTTTCTCCTCTGAGGAGAGAACTGTAGTACAGTTCCCTCGAAATTGGCTTTTTTCGATCATTAACAAACGCCAACACAGCACAGCACACAAAATGGCCATCAAAGACTGTATCTTCGGCCCACTTCGGTCCGCCGCTGAGATATCCAATGATGATGATCGAGTGGGCAGCTCTGCTGATGGCCAACAGAAAATGTATCTCACAGATACAGAGAGTCCCACAGCCAGAGTGGGATTGGCTACTGCCCCTCCTCGCTCACATACGATGAGATCATGCCAAAACAAAAAAACAATGAAAAAACCCAACAAAAATTAAAAAATTAGTTAACTATTTCAAGCCCCCGAGCCGTACGTGTCTTCAGGTATTGAGATACATGTGAGCATGTATGGGTTTATATAATATTTCTAACCAAAAATAAAATTAAAAAATGGTGGCCCGCTCTGGAAACGTGTTTTGGGGCATTTTTTCGACATTGGAGCTGTTGCTGCTGCCAACCAATGACAATTTCGATTCGGTCGAAACGAATGCGAAACGTGGAGCCCGAAATGGCAC